ATTATATTCTTATAAATTAAAAATAAGTTTAAAATGATAATTTTTAATCCCTTAACTTTTAATATATACATATTTTTTATCTATCCATTTTAAATTAAAGGATTAAAAATGTGTGGGAGTAATTAATAGAAAAACTAAAAAATATATGAAAAATGGAGTAAAAAAGTATATAAAAAAACTAAAGGATGAAAATTATATAAAATATTAAAGTTGAGGACTAAAAATGAACTTTGTCCTTTTAAAATTTGAATTTGAATGGTAGCAGGCAACTGTACCAAAAAAAAATGGAAGATTGACAAGTCAGACAGCTGGACGCGAGGTTGCGCGACCGAAGTTGCAGGGCTGACCAAAACGATGTCGTTTTGGTTAGGAAATCTCTCTTTTTTAATTCTTATATATTGCACGGGTTAAATTTTGATGTACAGGTCAATACCATAAATTTCGGTTGATACATCAAAATTTGACCAATACAATCAATATTGGACCAAAACGAAATTTTAACTTATTCTGTTTCAATTAATCTTCATACGTACCGTCCGTACCGTACGGTACGGTACGGCACCAACTACATTGCTCCAAACCGGCAAATCGACCCTTGACGTTAGAGAACGTTATTTTTCCGTCATCCGCCCTGATACTTTGATTAAAAAAAATTGACTTGGCGCTGACTTGGAGCTGGACCAGCGACCATTTTAAACAACCTTTTTTTTTATATTTTTTTAAAGTTAAATTAATTTTGAGTTGAGTTGCGTTAAATTCATAAGAAAGAAATTTTTTTAACAATTGCTTCTTCATTTATAAAATTTAAATTTAAAATTTTATTTTAAAAAAATCAAATTCTTTTCACTCAAATTAATAAATCATTTATACTATTTTAAACAACATATTTAAACAATATTGTTTTCCACGTGATGGGTAAAGTAGTAACACTATATTTCATAAGTAGAAATATCACTAGAGCCTATTATGTTCAACCCCTAATTCTCTCTCTTCAACCCCTGTTAAAAATTTATAATAGTTGTAATAGATAATTACTTATTAAAAAAAATATTTTTAAACAACACTTCTTGATAATCTTAATAATTCTCCATTTCAAATATATTTCAAATCATATTTGAATCTTCTTTTGATGGTTACCCATTCTCCAACATATGGTTGTAGCAAATTCAAAATGGACAAGTTTGAATTTGATTCTTCAAACCCCATGAATGAAACCAAAGTTGATTTTTCAACAAAGAGTTCTAGTCTTGGGTTTGTGTAATAAATAAAGATTTTTTTAATTGGAGTTCTCTGTTTCTTGTTATTTCTTTAGATTTTGTTGGGTAGTTGACATGTCTATAAATTAAGAATTTAATTTTTTTTATAAATTAATTTGGGTTTGTTGAGTTCAGGAAAAAAAGTACTGCTTATGAATTATAATGGGATGATGATTTTTGCACATTAGTTGTTCGATGAAATGTCAAAAAGAAACAACACATAATAAAAATCTCAATGGAACAAATCAAAAACCAAATCATTAAGATAATCTATTGAAAGTTAGGTCAACATTGTGGAAGCCCCATTAAAAATATAAAAAAGTGAACCAAAAATACCGGCAAAATAATTTATGCCAACGTCAACATTGTCGTTTCGTCTTCTTCCATTCATTCGACTTGATTGGAAGGCATCGAAAGCTATCTAGAGAAAGAGAGGTGATGAAATACAGGAGAGATGAGGAGAAGGATAAGAAAGGACTAAAATCCCGCCTCCTGTGAGCGTCGAATTAAGAAGGGGCTGAGTAAAATCCCACCTAAGACTTCAAGAAGAAGCCAATTTTTTTTTTTTTCAAGAAGAAGCTTTTTACAGGATTATGGATTTTAATTTTGTTTTCTATTTTGACCATTTCATTTCATAGCTCTCTTTAGATATTGGTTCACCTAATGTGACTTAATATTAAACAAAGGAATGCATTGATTTTTGTGTCTCATCGAGTAAAAAAATTAATTAAGTATTTTCATTGTGTTTGATTGTTTGACAATGAAAGTTTATTTTAAAATTTACAATTATTTCATTAGAAAAGTAATGTGCATACCGGTTCACAAATCCCACTCCAATTAAAAGAATTAATAAAAATTATTTCATGTAATTTTATAGGATAGTGATAGGCTTACCTTATAAATCCACACCCTTCTTCACACACAAACAATTCAAAAAATAAAATAAGATAATCTTCCTTGATAGGCTTATTTATTGCTTGTCTAGCACAAATCACTTACTAGAAACACTTGAATCGGTGATGTCTAGCAATCCACATTAGGTCTTCACCCAAAAAGGGAATGATGCTACATCAAAAAGGAGGATGGACAATTAGAATGATTAAGGTTTAGGGTTGCAACCTATTTGGATGCATGAATAAGCCAAAGGTCTGTGGATGGCGGTAGGGTTAGGGCTTTAAGGAAATGTTTATTTTATGAAGTATGCACCATTAAGTATCGAACTAGCAAGCGCATCAATCATTTCTTCATTTTATGAGATTTTTTTTTAAAAAAATTATTATCAAGAAGTCATTTCTTTAAAATCATTTTAGACTAACTAATAATTTAAATAATTTAAACAATTTAATAGTAATCTTCTTCTCATAGGAGTAAGAGATTTAAATTTGAGTCTTATATCATGCAAGTGGAGTGAATTCAAGAATAAGAGAGGATCATTTCCCTTCGTGCAACTCAAAATCAAATATATTAAATGTATATATTAAGACCATTACAACAATTAAAGTAAGTGGACTCTAATTGAAATTCTAAAATACAATAAAACATATATGCCGAATCAAAGAACAGCAGTGGATCCTTAATCCTTGATATAAACCTAAGAAATATAGAAAGAAAATTGCGTATATGCATATATGATAAATATGCTCACATTTGATGGAAATCTACGTTAATCTTTCCAGCTCTAGAGTCTGCAATGGAGCTGAAGGCTCCTTGAGATAAGTCAATGGTTCCATGGCAACTTGAAGGAGGGGCAGTAATCAATGACGGTCACCACAACCTCCTTTTTCTCTCTACAACGGTTCGGGATACCTTTGCTCTAACACCACTCATGCACTTGACCTTGTACTTCTTTCCACAGGCTGCACCATCTTCCCACAATGTGTCGCTTGCTGCTGCAAACATCGGTCCCTCATTCTCAGTTTAAGATGGAGTTCCAAGAGAAAATGTTTCTTTCAGACATTCTATCGAACACCCTGCGGACATCCTCCAACGAGCCACAGTTTCCATAGGAATCAACGAGCCTGTTTTTGATAAATATCTCTGAGGCAAAAGAAGTCTTAGTGATCCTCGCATGAACGCGACGGACGTCAAGGAGAGACTTTGATTGGACTCAAGAATCCAAGAGCTTAGCAAGGAGAGACGAGTCGCTGAAAGAGAGATCACCCACGATTTGCTTGAACAACCCATGCTTTGACATTCCATTATCTTTGAACAAGAGAGCTTCTTGGGCATGTTCTGTTAAGGGCTTGACATGATCAAGGATACTGCAAATGTTTATCTTAACTAGGAACTTTGTCGGATAAGTACTCTCTTCGGTGAAGCAGGAGAACCTAACTTCAACTAGATTCTCTGCGCGGGCAGAAGGTGCAATTCAGCCCCTTTACTTTAAGTGTTATGGTAGATCAGACCCTCTACAAAGAAGTAGTGCAAATAAACCCCCCCTATTACTCGAAACCAGCAAATCGACCCTTGACGTTAGAGAACGTTATCTTTCCGTCATCCGCTCTGATACTCTGATTAAAAAAGATGACTTGGCGCTGACCTGGAGTTGGACCAGCGGCCATTTCAAATATATTTCAGATCATATTTGAATCTTCTTTTAATAGTTACCCATTCTTCAAACAGGTTGTTGTAGCAAATTCAAAAAGCACAAGTTTGAATTTGACTCTTCTAAACCCATGAACGAAACAAAAGGTGATTTTTCAACAAATGATTCCAGTCTTAGGTTTGTGTAATAAATGGCGATTTTTTTAATTAGAGTTCTCTATCTTTTTGCTCAAATGGGTTTTTAAAGCTCAACACCCTTCCTTATATGTAGGGCTGGGCGTCGGACGGTTTTGGTTATAACAACAACCGACTTAACGGTTAACCACATAATTGATTTTTAAAATATAGCAATCATTAACCGCATTAAATTATTATAGTTTTTTAATATTTGATTATTTTTGTTTTATAATTCTCGATGTCGGTTACAGTTTTACCCGACTTAATACTTAGCTTTTTTAGTCTTGTTTCCAAATTTCAATAGCAAAATTCCTTACTGAAATCAATAATAATCTCATGTTACAAACTTAAATTTGATGCTTAAAACAAATCCAAGCTAAAAACTTACACGTGAATTTACTAATTGATGCTCTTTACTATTAATCTCCATGTGAAGATAATCACACTACATTTTAGATAAAAAATGAAATTAACACAAGTAAATATTATCATCAAAACAAATAGATTCATTTTAGGATTAAGGTTTTCTAACAATGAACAAGAATTTAGTTAAAAAATAAAGGATTGAAATTTAAAATAAAAAATTTTTAAAAATCTTTCAAATTTAATTAAAAAGAGAAGAATTTTATACCTTTGGTTTTAGGCAATTTGTTAATTGAAAGGAGTGGGTGACAGAATTTATGAAGAAAAAGGAACAACAGGGATCAAGTTGACAATTTCAATGGCAACCACAAAATAGGTCACCACCGGCCACCA